ATTTTTAGAGATGATAAATGGATGCTTTTGATGTTATTTGTAATTGTAAAGATTATTCTCTTTCTTTCTCTTTGTTCCTCTTTTCATCTTAAAAAGGGATGATTTAAATAGGCTGATATGTGCACATGAGATACAGAAAGGCTAATTTAATGTGGTTGGTGAAAACTTAACAACTTAGCTTAATGAAACATTGTTAAATGGATATCTTTGATTATATTTGAAATTGAAAATAGGAGAACTTACTATTTTAAAAAAAATGAATGACTTATATGGGTTGGTAAGTTTATATGTGATACTGTATGGAGTTAACTGTATTTGATTAAATGGAGTTTAAGTCAGATGAAACATTAGTGAGTTTAAAGAAAATTAGCTTAATGTTATCACTTAGCAGAGTAGTTAGAATGCCCTTTGAGATGTCAAATAGATCCTTTTTGAAGTTACTAGTAATCGTGGTAGTGAGGAAGTTATTTTTTATTAGAAAAATGGATAGATTCTGAATTGTTCAGAAATGTTTAGATGAAATCTATCACTGAAGAAGAAAGAAGATGTTGCAATTTCACCCAACCTGGAAAAGCTTCCCTTAAATAATGGTCAAGAGAAACGGGATTTTGCAAGAAAAGATGGGATTGATTTTACCAATAAAAGAAGATGGAAGAAGGAAGATAGTGACTTCTATCAAATTTGGAATTACATTTTTATTTGGCTGGAGAAACAGGACTTGGTTTTGATCTAAAGATGTTTTCATGTTTTTATAAAAGGATTATAGTATGCCCATAGAATGTTAAAAGACATGTTGTAGGGGGCTGACCCAGTAAATCTGATGTGTGTGATGACTGATATGTGTAGTTTTAGTTTAAAATCTTAATTAAAAAAAAATAAAGTCACACATAGGTGGTGATAATTAGTTTACTGCTCTTATAACACAATGTGATCTGTTGCATTAAAACAATGTAAATCTGAAAAAATGTCAGTGATCGTATTTGTTATCTGTGTATTGAAATGTCCCTCTGAAAGAGATGAAGGAATTGTGGCTCTTAAATACACTACTGCTGTATTACTAAATTGTTCACAAACAGGTTTGCTCTGCTATCATCTTGCAAGAAGTTCTGCTGTTAGATCAAACTTTCTCAATTTGTTGCACTCTAGATCTTTGGATGGGACTGCAGGTGGCGCAGTGGTTTAAACCGCTGTGCTGCTGGGCTGGTTGATCGAAAGGTCGCCGGTTTGAATCTGCACAACAGGGTGAGTTCCCATTGCTCCATCCCAGCTCCTGCCAACCTTGCCATTTGAAAGCATGCAAATGCAAGTAGATAAAAAGGTACCACTTTGGTGGACAGGTAACAGCGTTTCATGCACTTCGGTGTTTAGTCATGCTGGCCACATGACCACGGAGACTGTCTGGGGACAAATGCTGGCTCCCTGAGCTAGGAAACGGAGATGAGCACCACCCCCTAGAGTCAGGCATGACTGGACTTAATGTCAAGGGGAAACCTTTACCTTTTTTTAGATCTTTGGACTACAGGTCCAAGAGCACTCCATAGTCAGAGAAGATGGGAGCTGTATACCCAAATTCTGTAGGGCACCAGGATGGGGATGGAAGCTGCATATGCATTTCCCCCAGAGGGCTTATTCAATGCACACTTAAACAAACATTGTGCAGTTACAGTTATGCAATCACTGGATAACCGTTGGAGAAGGTCAAGTTATCCATTTATATTAGGTGATTGTGTGGCTATAGAAAAACAAAAGATTTGCACATCTTTCATTCTTGCTCTCTGTGCATATCAAGCAGTTACAGATTGATAGAGGGCACTTGGGTTTCTAAGAGCCGACTCCCTCCTCTTTGCCTAGAAGTCAATGAATAAGAGATATTTTGTTTGGACACTGGTGGGGAACTGCTGAGATTTACCTTCTCATCAAGACTACAAACAGGGGCTGTGGTGGGAAAACCCAGACCAGGCTACTTCATCAGTCCAGCTGACTAAATAGAAATGCTGCAGCCAGATCGTATTCAGCTGGGTGGATATACACAGAGTGGAATAAGCTAGAGCAGTGGCAGAACCTGCATAAACCATGGAGAAAGGGCATGCCTACTGCCAGGAGTTAATAAAGGAACTGGGGAAGGAGAGGAAGAGGAAGATGGATGAGGAAAAAGTGTTCCAACAGCTAAGAGGGCATGAAGAATAGCAGGACAAACAGAGAGAAGAAAGGGGAGTCAACTTTGGGAAAGGAGATACAGATGGGAGGCCAGACCAAACAGTGGCAAACAAGAATGATTCTGGTCAGCCGCTGTCCAATCACCATGAAAATGGGGGAGGGCGGACTTCCTGTGCCTTACCTGCTCCTACAAGCCTAGAAGGAAAGCAGAGAAAAGAAATATGGTTTCTGCAGTAGTTATGAGAGAAATATTGAAGAAGCCAGAAATGGGTGTGCCCCAAGTGCAGACTGTAATGTATATTTATCTGATACCTTAGCCATCTTAGGAGAAAAAGATATAACTCTTATGCTATTTGTATTATGTTTTGTGTTTAATTGATTGTTGTAAACCACCCAGACTGCTTCAGCTATTGGGAAGGATGGAAAATAAATTGATTGATGGGATGAAATCCTTGTCCTGAAAGGGAAGTTATGGGACTGGGGGAAGTTGGGATATCTAACTAGCAGTGCTCAGTGAACTGAACCATTGCATCTGTTATATCATGAAAATGGTATCTCAGAAGAGATGGTAGAAGATGGGTGTTTTGGTGCTTCTCTTCCTCTGGTGGCTTTTCTGATGTGCTTGTCTCAGTTTAGAAAGATCCAAACTGAGATACTTGCTGCCTACTAATAACAAGAAGACAGCTTTTTTTAGACAGATACAGGCAGAATGACAAATGCATGAGATAAATCACAGAATTCACTGTGTTAAACTAGTCATGAATGTTGAAAGAAACCTTTTTTAAAAATCTGCACTTTCTGGTTGTTGCCAAGTTTTGAACTATATCTATTTATATATGTTATTTAATTTCATTTCTATGCACTCAATACTCAAAGCTATTCAAAGAAATGTTTCAAAATATCGTTTGGGGGATTTTTCACATGTATGTGTTATCATGAAGAAAATTGGTCATTTCGTTTTGAAATCCATGCAGCTTGATGGAGCTGCATATGCTATTGGAGAGGGCAAGGATTCCAAGAGACTTGTTCATGTAGTTTCAAGTATGATTTCAGTCTCCATTTTCTTGAGCCATACATCCTCAAAAGAGGGAGTATGATCATTTCACCTCTATGCCCACATTTAAGATGTTCCATCTTACTCCTTTCTGCCATTAATTCAAGACTTATGATAGCATATATGCACAAAACTGACTCTCCTTAACCATAAAGAGAGAAATATAGACCTCTTTCTCTGGCGACAGGAGGGAGGCAGTGGGAAGTAAAGAGGTGACTATTAAATTCTTTCCTATCTGCAAATAAATAATAAACCAGAGAGAATGTTGGTGGATACTCTCTTTTCTTCAGAATCTGACACACATGGTTACCTTATTTCCAACACTCTTTACAATATGTTCTTCCATACCCTCAAACACTATTCTCCATTCAAGGAGATTGTTGTTCCCCACTCCCTCTAGGAACAAATCACATATTATTTCCAGAACTAAGTTGCCTAGCAATCTGGCAGTTAAGGTGGAAAAGTGGGAAGGGAAGTAATAACAAAACAGAGTTTGGAAATTACAAGGCAGCAACCATTAAATTGGTTTGTAATACTTATCAAGATGTTTCTAAATGAGAATGGATATAGTATTTGCTGAAAGCCTGATCAAATCAGACTATCATTTCTCAACTTCTTTCCCAGTCCTTTTGATCCCTTGCTTTGCAGATAGGCTGATATTGCAAAATGGAGTTTCTCCATTTAGCTTCATTACCTGCCAAAGACCTACTAGGGAGATAATATGCTGACTGACATATTGGTACACCTTTTCAAACTGGTACCCTTACCCATGCAGTTTGGGATGAGAGGAGTTGCTGGGTGGTGTCACCATCCAATTTATCATGTTCCCCCAACAATGAAAACATGCCACAATTGTGGTAGGTTGAGCAAGGGATGGAGAATCAAGACAAGAGATGATGTGTCTTTAATTGGCCCAAAGATCCTGGAAAAAAAAGGAACATGGGCAGAAGCAGAAGCCAAAAAACTAAATGCAGAGAATGAGGATGAAGCAGGAGTAAAGAGACTTGTATAGATTGCCTCAAGGGATAAACAGGAATAGAAGAAAGACCAGAAGGGGACCAAAGAGGGTTGGAGGATGACAAGGATATTAATTAGTTCATGACATGGATTGAAAGAGACTGTCAGAAGGACCCCAAACAACAATATAAGAAAAAAGCTGAGTGAAGAACATAAAGAAAATGAAACAGCCCAGAATCCCAGGTAAATGATTGGATCCTGAACAAAATGGGCCTTTTGAGAGCCTGCCCAGTGATGGAAGAAGAGTCAGGGTGAGGTGGCAGGATGGACGAGATTGCCACTTCTGAACCTTGTAGCCCACAGTAGATACACCTGAGCCCTCACTTTTCAAAGCTTATGTGCATCAAGAACTGATCACTCTCAGTTTCTTAGCTAACATTTGCAGTCCAATCAATAAATTAGGAATTAATCCAAACATGTTTTGAACAGTTTATAAATCCTCCTCCCCTCCCCACAAAGGAAATAAGACTTGCTGAAATATGTTGGGCAACAATAAAAGGTTTTCCCTTGGGAACCTGAGTCTTCCATTTCACTCTCTTCCACTGGTTCCATTTTCCAAGCACATGCGTTAAGGTGGTTAGAAAATATAGGACAGAGGAACTGGTCAGAATGGCGCAGATTCAATGAAGCAGCTTGTTATTGGGATATTAGAAATGGTTGAAATTGAATCGTCTATTGGTGGGTCTTCTATACATGTTCCAGTATGTCTTGCTCCTTTTCTCAGGAAATAAGTACATACTGAATGCCACGTGAAGTCCCAGCTCTCCCTTACCTGTACTTGTATCCATACTCTCTTCAGACACGTGCTCATTCTGGTGCACCCATTCCCCGTTGCACTTGAAGAAGATTTGCATTGCAGGCCTGGCTCTGCAGCGTAACACTATAGGGTTGCTTTTAATGATGTAGGCATCATCTGGCTCTTGCATAAAATGGGGCAGAGTCCCAGGTGCAGATGGGATGGACTCTGGGAGTGTTTCACTATTGTCGTTTCCTGTAATTGCAAAAGAAAGGACATGTAATCTTAACTAAACATCCCCAAAAGCATATGCTAAATCTGTACCAAAGCATCAGCTACTGTAATTGGAATCCATTGGCGTGTCACATAGCACTTGGGACATCCAGGCAAGAGGGAGACATTGAACTGAAAACCGCCATGGCATGGTTTGAAGGTACATGATGCAATGCCCTGCAAGTTCATCAGCTCTAGGAGCTGCTTGGTGCCTTGGTGAGGAGAGCACCTCGAGGACCATGTGTTTAACACCTTGGGGGCTCCATTTTCGCATATGAACAATGTTCCTGGCTGGTCCTTGTTCCATTTTAAGGGGAATTGTGACATAGTCCACTTTATGATTGGCATTGGTGTTTATATCAAAACATATCACATTTTAAAAAATCTGCCTATACGAAAAGTATTATACAAAGAATTTTAAATGTATGAAATTTCTCTTTCTTTGCAATTTTAAGTCTATAAAATGTATAAACTGGATGTGCTATTAGTGGTAATTTTGCTTGGTGTAATATTTCTAAAAACTATCATACCGAATGCGAGTCTGAATCTAAATGTTATAGCAGCTGCAGGGAACTAAAAGCCTTCCAGATATAGATGTACTAAAACTCTCAGTCTTAATGTTTGCTGCACATGCTGGAATGACTGATGGGACGTGGTGTCCAGCAACAGTTGGAGGGGCCTCAGGATTTCCCCAATCCTGATTATAGAGTACTAGTACTAGTTTTCACATTCACTATATTGCACCTAAACACTCCTTAATATACTGCTAAAAGAACGCAGTTCACACATTTATGGCATGTCAAGCTCAGCCTCCTAGGCTTTATTACATTCATGCATCAGCAGTACCAAAAAGCTTTAAATGATTTGAGCAGGACAAAAGAGTTCCATGCTACCATTGGTGCCTTGAGCATCACCTGTGTTTAACATCCTTGCTTGCACTTACACAGCTTAATCTCCCATGACCAAAGGGGAGAATATGCATAGAAATGAAACGACCTATTTATCGACCACCAGAAAGCACTGAGTTGATCACCTAGTTCATCCAGAGCCCTAAAGATTTCTTGCTATCTAAGGCATCTTTGACATCATCTTCATTAGTATCATCATCTTTACTGTCATTCTATTACGTACAATACAAAGTGCATGAAGTATAAGCTGAAACACAGATATGTTTTATTTGCTTATTTTGACAACTCCTTTAATTTCAAATTTCCATTTAAATTACACCTGGATAGCAAGATAGAATCTGGGAAGTCAAGGGCCAAGGTATGACTGAAAGTATTATTGAGAGAGCCCCCACCCCCAGGATACGGTGATGTTTATTGCCATTACCTTGGTGGTAGCTGGTGGACACACACACACCTTGAGCTCTCTGGTGAGGGGATCGCAAGGTCATTCCAAGAAAAAGATGTGAATTCTGTTTCAGAATGAGAGACTGAAGGAACACCCAATTCCAGAAAGCATCATTGCCTTAAGAAGCAAATGAGCAGGGCTCTTTTAAGAAGCATTTGTCTCCAAAGAAAGACTCCTCAACCTTGATGGAGCATCTCAGGAGCAAGCCTTGGGGTGGGGCTCCGGGGGCTCTGGTAATGCAGCATGTATTTTCAGCCCACCATTCCAGAAAACAATGCTGTTTCTTCAGCCCATCATGTTTGGTATCTTGTTTCTCATTTCCAGAGATTTATCTTTTAGATGAATTTGCCAGAGGCAAATGGACATTTCACTAGATGTTCCTTTCCAATCCCAGGATTTTGGAAATGGCACAGATATATGGCACACATAAACTGCCCATAAAAGCAGCTGGTTTTTGCAATAATATTCGGCCCAAGAGTAGATAGTCTATCTTGAGATGCTTCAGCTCTCCGCAAAGACGATTTCAGAGTATTTTGCAGAACTGGAGATATATAGAAAACCTTCCAAAGAGCTGAAATGATACAGGAATACATTCTCCAGCCATCTGAACTGAATGTAATGAATTGTTTCCCATAAGAAAGCTGGAAGGGGGATCTATTTCATGCATCTATAAACATGAATACAGCTACTTCACAACTACATTTACACTACTCAAATTTATAAACAAAATGGAACCCACTTATTCGTAGGTTTTTGCATTTCTCTGAGATATTCACTTAAAAGTGCATCCACACATGTGCACATTAGGATAAAACCATATACCAAAACATGCACTAATTTATGTGCACTAAAAGGGCATGCAGACCAAATCAAAAGTTTGCAAACTGATGTGGAAGCAGAGTAGAACAAACTTGTTCTCGGAATTTTTAAATAAATATATACTAAAGTAATGCAACAGCTACACCAAGACTGAATTTGTAGCTTGTGTATGTTACCTAACAAAGTATACCATGTTGTGCTATGGTTGTGTATAAATAGTCCCTCAAACCACAATAGGAAACTATTTCACATAATTTCTCCAAGGAGAGAAGAAAGTCTCAGACAGCTCCTTGAAGGTGAGGCTTATCATTAGTTGTGGTAACAACACAAATTCCTCTCCTCCTACTCTCATGGATTTCTTAGCATATTTTGGGTTAGCAATGCTTGAATCAGCAAAACTCAAGCTTACAGAAACTCTGAATTCTATAGGGAGACTTACAACTCAAGTCCATATCAGATTGTGAGTTTTGTTTGTTTTTGCATGACTATCCATACATATTTCCATATATATTTCCCCAAATGTTCACATTAGTTGTGCATGTCCAGGCACCTCCTGGCATTGATGTGCTCAATGCTATTTGTTTCTGGGAGCTCTAGCTCCTCTTCTGGAAATATTTCTCCAGGAAAGCCATGTCATATAGAAACAACATTATTTCAAGACCCACTATTCTGCAACCTAGCTTTCCTGAGCTTGCTTCCTTTGTCAATTGCTCTGCTGAGATGTCTTCTTGAATTGTGCTTAATGGGGACTGTGAATTGTGCCATGAGCTGGTTGACTCCCCTCCTTCCAAGCAGAAGGAAGGAACAACAGTCTTTCTAACCCAAGTCTTCATTATGTTAAAGCTGACCAGCTAGGCCTGATTTTATGATAGAAAAGAACGCTATAGAAGTCAGTAACAAAGTACACAAGCAAAGTTAGAACACTGGTCATGAGAGAAGTGTGACTGAGTGATGCACAGTTGATTCCAAACAGAATGCTTCTTTCTACTTCCAGAGAAAAAACAACTGACTCCATCTCCAAGATCATTTGAGCTGTTGCCCAGTTGTCTGGAATGTCTGACATGCCTCAGTTGGTCCACCCTCTTTACTGGATGCCATACAATTAGACTAAATTCCTTCCTGAACTTGAACCTGTCTGGTTCTCAGCAACCATCTGTGTCTCCTGCTCTTGCTATTTCAGCTGTGAACTCCAATCCTGCCTCTTCTTCCACTTCTGAATCAGAATCTAAGTCAACATCTTTCAAAGCTGCATTACAGGATGAGCGGGTCCAATCCCTACAGATGGTGTGTCTATGCTTGCTGTTGGCTCTATGTCAGACCTTTGCTTTTTGATGGCCCTTCTCCTTGAGTGACAATATTGTTTTTTTCTGATCTCTGCCTGCTTTCTGACCTTGCTAAATGGATTTGCCCCATGACTGAGACTTAACCGGCCATACCAAGACACCTGGTGGCAGCCGGCCAGACAATGCAACTATTGGAGGATCGAGTATGTCACATCTTTCCACCCCAGTTGGGACTGTTCTGTCAAAGTCTTGACAGCATATATGTGAACCACAGCTCTTTTCAACATTAAAATCAAAGAAAAAAGATATAAGACATTTTCCTGGAAAAGAAAAATGTACTAAGCTTTTATGAAAAGCATTTGAATGATGTAAATTTGTCCTGTCCAAACTGTTAGCTCCAAGGAAGACTCATTTTAAATTAAAATCAGATTTCTTTAAAAACTGAATTAAAAATACACTTATGGAAATAAACAGCATTAGCCATGCTATAGCAGACACCCGGTACGCTATTAGCAAAGTGCTACATTCTAAATTTTGCAGCTTTATGGACTATGATTTGGTAGCTTTTTGCCATTTATACAGACCTATAAAACCAAGCAGCATATTATTGCAGAAAATATGCCCCAGGAAGAACCCAAGTGAAGGCAAGAAAAGCATTTTAGCCATAAGAAAACTAATATCTTACTCTGCTCAGAATGTTGTTGGGAGCAATATGAATATATCCTATATTTCTTTGTCATAAAAATTTAGCATGAATCAAGCCTTGGTTTATGAACCTAGTGTGTTTTCTGTTTTGCAGAAAACTGGTGCATGGAGATGGCTTCAAACACAAATGCATATCAATGGACCAACTGGAAATAACTCAATAAGCAGTTTTAGGTATCGGTTGCCAAGTGTTTCTTTGGGAGAAGGTTGGGTTGGAAATGTCCATTATATCAGAGCCCAGTCACACAGCCTGCACTACTAAACTGTATCCCACCTTCCTTGAATTCTTAGCTGTCTCCTGAGTTTTCCACTGAATTTTCCAGTGATCTGAGAGGGAGGAACAAAGTTTGTATTCATTAACATTCAGGTGAGGGAGAAATAATGAAGGTGGAATAATACATGTCAGGCGTCTATGGAGGACCATCACTCAAGTAAATGGGTGGACTCTGGACTGGACCACTCTGGACTGCTTCGTCCAGAGTTTGCTATTTCTGCCTGTTCCCCTGAACTCTCTGAAAAAGCAACTAGTGCAAGGAGGAGAAAGGATTAATAACTTCTTGTGTTCATTCTCTATCTCTGTCTGCCTCTCAAAGAGATGGGCCCAGCGAGACCAAGAGGTATACCAAACATGGCAACAATGGTGAGAAAGATGGCTATCTCAGGGAGATGGGCCATTGAGATCATCTTGGCCAAACCACCCCTCCCCACTGTAACCAAAAACAGTCTATGAATGAATAGACACAAGCTCAGGCCCAGTATCTGAAGGCAACATGGTTGGGCAAATGACACAGCCAAGCCACAATCACAGCTGTCGCTGCAGAAGGCCAAATGGCCCCATTTAAAAAGTCCCCCCGCACATGCTATTAAGTATTGAGGCAAGCAGTTGCAGAGAAATGGGGCTATTAATCTTTTCTTGATGCAGAAATAGGGACTCATAAGGAACATCAGTGCCTGGCAGGGAATATGAGCATGTTAGACTGGGTAGAACTGGGGTAAATGTGTGGCATCTGGTTGCTGCTCATTTAATACACCCAAAGGAACCTGCCCATATGCTTGCATCAAGAACTGATGCCATCCTCTAAGGGAAATTCAGAAAGTGGTAACAAGAAGAGGGCTTTCACAGTGGACACCTAACTGGAAGTCTCTC